TCTCTGCAGCCAGCACTCATTTACTCCACGACAACAGCAAGCACGCATGAGAACACACTCTCTGGCAAACAAACACAGGCCTGTGCACACACACACATTGTGCTTTATTTAAGAAAAGAGCACAGGTCAGTTCACACGCACCACCTCGAAACATAGCGTCTTTATTCAAATTTACAAAAAAGAAAGGGGGAAAAAAATACAACGGAATAAATACACTTTGCCATACGCCATTGTGAGATTTCAACATTACAAGAGTCCAGATGGGGCAGGATCAAGGGATGGCATTGGAAACAGAGCCATGGCTGGAGAAATGGAGACGTGTGTGTAAATATCTCGGACATTCTCAGCCACACCCCTACTGAAAATGATAATACCAATGTTGTGTTACAAATGTGTCAGAATGTATTAGAACAATGTATTAGAATGTATTTAGTGTTTTTTTCATATTTAATAATAATGGTTGCTCTTCAATAAGCCAATTCCGGAAGATTCAACATAACCAATTCCAAAAAAATCTCAATTCCATAGTTCAATGTTTGCTCTTAGACACCTGATTTAGCTTGTGAAAGGCCTTGACATGCCAAGCTAACACCGAAGAATTAGCTCCAACCAAAGCTTTCCACTGGTTCACCATCAACTCAGTTAACTGTTCATGGGAAGATGGAGGCCAACAATTCAGTGAAACAATAATTTAATGTCAGTTTTCTCATATTTGTGTTGTCAAGGATGCATTGTTATTCATAAGTCAGTAGTTGCGCTAACTGTGCTACTCTAGCTGATGTTAGCTAGGTCCAGAAACAATGAGTGCATTTAAATGCACTTAATAATCCGATAAAAATAAATTTTGTCAGTAATCCGATCAACGCGTTTACAGTAATCGGATTTCTGCTTTGCAACTAGCCAGTAAACTCAAACTTCATAGCTTTTTTTAAACATCCAGCTGTTTTACTTGAAAATATGAACATACAGCAAAGAGTATTTAAATCCTTGATCTCGTCAAGAATGTAGTTGGTACTTTTGGAGTGATGCTGAAACCATCTACATTCTTGACGACATGAAGGATTTAAATATTCTTTGTTGTATGTTCATATTTTCAAGTAAAAGCTTGCTGATTTCTGGTACCGTGGTCTGTTTTTGCAAAATACGAAAGAAATCAGAGTAAGGGTTCACATGCACTGAGAAACCTGATTACTGAGTTGAAATCCAGCTCTCTTTATCAGATTTCTTAATCGGATTTCTAGACCTTACTCCGATCTAAGAAATCGGAGTATGCTGTTTACATGACCATTTGAATAATCACATAACTACAGAAATCCAAATCGGATTATTGCGTACATGTAAACGCACTCGATGAAAGCTTATTTCTCTGACCAACTCACATGTTGGCACATCATCCACTACGGAGAAAAGACCATCTGTAGAAGACAAAAAGTCCTCTTCAAGGATGTTGCACTGGTTAGCTCTAGTGTTAGCTCATCTGACACAAAAACCTACTGATTTCCTCTGGCTATTTTAGAATAATGCACATCATTTTCAAAAGTAGTCCTCTGGGTGATGCTAAATGTTCGTGTAACACCAGCGCTGTCACCTAAAGATGTAAGACTACAGCCTTACATTAATGTCAGCAATTTTTATCAGTTAACTCGGATTATTTTTGCTCCAATTCGGACAGAAATCGTGGACCTCTTGGTCGGCATTTTGCCTAATATGTTCAAAGTGTAGTTAGTATACTAAGATTAATAAGCCAATCTGTACAAAACTGGAAAAATATCTTAATTGAAGGCCCATGATCAATAATCATGAGAAACGAAGGGCTTTTGATAAACTTTGACTATCATTTATCTCAACACATTAAGATCTCATTGAGCTGATTGTGCTTGGACCCCATGTATTGCTGCTTTTGGCTATATTTGTTTATTTCTTACTTCCATGGTTACCTGAATATCCATTAATACACTCTTATGGATACTCACCCTTCAAAATTAGTATGAAAGTCCATCCCTAGGACACGACTATAACTGATGATAGTCTTGTTCTTAATGTGGCTGCATGCAAAGGAAATAACTCCATACCAAAAGATGGCAGTAGTCCCAGAAATTGTAGTTTGTATTTTTAATCTAAAAGGAAAACAGGAAGACCAGTGTTGCAGATGGACAAACAAAAAGAACGCTGTAAAAAAAAAAAATCACTTAGCTAGTTTGTTTGTCTTTCTGCAATGCTAAACATTCTCGGCTTCTTTCTTTACTTGCTTGTGCACTGATTGGCTTGGCTGAACAACCAATCATGGAGCTGTGTCTGACCATAGATCTCCAATGACCAATATATCTCAAAAACTACAGGCAATGGTCATCCACAGACACTAAACACTAAACTATAGAGTGCAGACATTCTCGGAAACTGGAACTGGAAAACCAACAGTGCTAAATCCTGGAATGCCAAGCGATCCTCGGTTTGTTGTTTGGTGCCCTATTCTAACACAGGGATCGACTAATTATTGGCTAATGGGTCATGTTAGCTAAATAAAGAATGGTGAATGTGGTGAAGTGGCTCCGCCTCCTTCTCTAGCTGTGATTGTGATTGTACACGTCTACAGTGGAGTTTATTTCTGGTGTGGCCCAGTCACAGTGGCTCCGAGTCAACAACAATGTTCCAATTGACGGTCAGGGTAAGCAGGACATCGGGGAAGTGCGTGTTTGTATGTCCACCCATGTATGGAGTATGGAAAGAATGCCATGGAAAGACATGGCAACACCCATGTGTCCACCTTCAGACGATCTGCTGAGGTTCTGTACATTTGAAGGCATTCAAAACAGTCACTGTAGGCGAAACAATGTGCGACGTACACGTCAGTTCTGTCCTCGACGTCCTACAGTAAGTGAAAATTCAGTTCCAGTTCGTGGTGATTATATCCAGCAACATGACGTTTTCATCTTCCCGCTCTCTTTTAAATGACTTTTCATGGTTGTTTTCAATACTACAGTACTGTCTCACTTTACACAATGGCATTCAGTGATATTTACATGTACATACAACACTGTAATTTCTCTTAGTTCTGTTTTTTTTTATAGATTCTTTTTATATGAAAAAAAAACAAAACAACAACGACATTATTATCTATTATTGAACGTCACATATAAAAGCCTGGTGTCTTTTGCATCCTGCTCCTGAAAAATGTCTATGCTGGTCTTCTCTCGATTCATTTCACCAAGTGAACTTTACTCTCTGGCCTTATTTCAGCATGTTCGTAATACAGTCTGTACTCTGAAAATGCTCAAAAAATAATTTGTGAATGTGCAAGTTAATCAGAAGATTCTCCAGTGGGAAAACACCATGGAGAGGAAATGTGTTGACTATTTTTGCAAGTACAACTTAAACATGAATTCCACCAATTTTGTCAAAAGTTCTGCCTAATTAAATGGTAAAGATGTCAGTAAAGTCATTCAGAGTGGTGTGCTATGAAATGCGCCACTCCAGAGACACATATCGAGTCAGAATTGCTCACAGTGATGGTGAAAGGAAGTTTAAAATACCTGTTATGATTGTTTTGAGATAAGATTTCTAAAAGGTTTTCATGGCAGAGAAATGTAGTACTATGCAAATTTCAGAGACCAAGTTTTATTTAATTTCATTTACAGCCATTAAGTAGCCATTTTTCAGGAGATGTTTCTGAGGAGATCAGATATAAGATTATCTACTTGCATAAGTAAGCGGAAAGTCAAAGATAACTAAGTGGAAAAACATGAGTTTCCAAACTGGAGTTAATAAATAAATAATAATAATAGTAATAAAAAAAAAAACATAAATATATATATATATATATATATATATATATATATATATATATATATATATATATATACACAGGGAAATGAGACCTAACAACCACCTGGAATACCTGCTAGAACACATCACATAAACAGTACTTAAAGATTTCATATCAAGCTCTACTCTTGCTTCAGATAATAAAAAATCCACATTTCTATCCATCCCTCCACTGTGAGAAGACAACTCAGCACTGTGGGTCTGAAAGGATGTGTAGAAACATCTGTGAATCAAACAAAGAAGCTGCTGGTGTTCTCAGAACAATGGACTGACTCCTCCAGAGCCCAGACCTCAACTTCAGCGAATGTGGCTGGGATTACTTGGATTGTGAAAATCCAACCAACTTCTAACACTGAACTTGCTTGCAGTTTTTCAAAGAAATCTGAAAGCAAGCAGTAATAAAGACAAAGGGTGGAAACACTAAACACTGAAAACAGTGATATTATATTTAGTTGTTGAGGTAATTTGCTGTAAAATATGTTATCCTCTTTTCCTGATGCTTAAAAATGAATTCTAATACAATATAATGGCTGTTTTGGCTAGAAATTGAATAAATAAAGGGTTGTTTCAAGGCAAAATAGTCCCTAATAAGAATGTTTTATTTATTCAGACTTGCCACTATTTTATATTATCAATATTACATACAAGAAAGAGACATATGTAGGCTCACTCGTCATTTTGGATATCAATATTTGGTTCCCATCACCACCACTGTAAAGAGTCAGAATCAGAGTCGGTAAGTTTCCATACAATGAACTCTTTCACATCAGACCTGAATGAATCACTCTGAATGACTTTATAATGAATAATTCAGAAATAATACCAAAACAGAAGTTTTGAAAGTGAAATATTTCTTTCACTTTTCAACAAAGAACAATGGTTTCTCCTAACGTTCAACGTAAACGGACAATTTGACGGTTGTCCTCTGATTTGTTTTTAGACGTTTACTCAAAGTCCATTTGTATACGTTGCACGTCAGCATCACTGTTTAGGTATATAGCTTATTTTGCTTCGTATACAATCAGTTCTTCTCAAGATGTTATTGGCAGTCCATCTTAAATCCAGGTTATTTGCATTGAAAAGGCAAAGGAAATGAACAGAGGATATGCTCTTGAAGACCGTGAGCGTGTGAGTGCGTGAGAGTAGGTGTGTAGGTGCGTGCGCGTGCGCCTGTTTTTTTTGTTTTTTTTTTTCTTCCAGGATTGAAATATTCAGACCTTTCGTTTGGAATGACACAGTGGGCTGAATAATTCATTCCCGCCTTCCTCGGTGGATGTATCAACAATTTCTGTACAAACCTTTATCTCCCACCCTTATGTATTTCTTATCGCCTGTGCTATGTTAGCCTACTTTCTTCCCAGACTCCCTGGTGGATGTATTGTCTTGCACGTTGCCCCAAAAACATAATTTAAGGTCCAAGTCATCTGGAATATCTCGATATCTCTCATACGAGGTCTCTCTCTCACTCTCTCTCTCCTCTCATTGTGTGAACTGAAGCTAATCTAAGACACTATGAGCATCATTTTTTTTTCTCCTCCCTGCCTGGCACACTTAAAGAATGGTAAATACTCTGAAGTGAAACAGAGCCTTCGGTGTCTTTAGCTTCTGTGCTCACGCTTCTGCTTTTCAACACTTATTGCTTTAAATTGCATCAATCACTCTCTCCGTAGCCTCCTCTCTCTCTTTGTCTCTGTCTGCCTCTCTTGCCCACGCTTGTTTTTCTCTGTCTCTCCCCATTACTTTTCCTCTACGTCTCCTTCTCCCCTCGCTTCTCTTCCCATTATTCTCGCTCTCGTCGCAGTTTAATCATCCCCTCGCCCTTTACACCTCGCTCTCTCCCACTTTCCCCTCGTTCTCTCTTTCAGTCTTTGTCCTTCCTCTCGTCTCCGGACTGCTCCTCTTTCTCATCCTCCTCCTCCGTGCTCTGCTTCCGCGCCTTCTCTCCGTCCTTCTCGTCTTTTTCCTTCTCCCGGTCTCGGAACAGCTGGGCCAGCTTGCGGAACTGCGGCCCCCATTCCTCCAGGCCGCCGCCCCACTCTTCCTTCTCTCCGTCTTTTTCCCCCTCGCTTTCCAGGGAGCTGAGCGAGCCAGCCCGAGACCCCGTGCCCTCCAGCCCGTACACCTGCACCGAGTCGTATGGCGGCTGCGTGGGATCGAAGGTCACCTGGGCCAGGCGCAACCGCAGGAACTCGCCCACCCTCAGGGCAAGAGAGTGACCCCCTGCGCCTCCACCGGCTGAGGCCGCTCTAGCGGCCGCTTCGGGCCCTGTAGGGCCAGGCACCTCCATATCCCAGAATCCCCGCAAAAGATCCCCGACCTTGGCTGGGATAGGGCAGCAGCTGGGGGGTCATATCCCGCCTGCCCAGGCCGAAACCTCCCAAACCCACCCTATCCCGCCAGTCCCCTATGAAGCCCCCTCCGGCGCTCTCCGGATACACCACAAAGTTGCTGCCCATTTCCAGTCCGCCTCGGCCCAGGCTGCCTGTGTAGTCCCTCTGCGGATCCCCCTGCAGGACTGTTGCGTAATTGCGACCGGCGGCTCCGTCCGCGCCCAACTCCGCGGAACCAGCCGCACTCTTTTTCGGAGACATCCCAGCCCGTGACGATCGCCGTCCAGCCGAGGGCAGTGTGGCCGAGTCGCACGCCCAACTGCCCGAAACACCAGAGACGGCAGCCAGGGAACCGGAGCGGGTCAGCACCAGCGTCTGCTGTTCGCGAGGGGTGGAGTCCGACTGCACCTGTTTGGGACGGGGAGGAGCAGGAGGGTCAGAGCGGGTCAGGATGAGCTTACGCTTCTGTTAGGACACCATGGGAGTGAGAGAGAAAGGGAGAGAGAGAGAGAAGATGGAGAGAGAAGGTGGAAGGGCAGAGGGTTTTATTGAGGAGGGAGAGTATTAGAGAAAGAAAGTGGAGAGATAATAAATACTCGCAGGTGCAAACAGAGATATTCAGACAGAACAGAAGAGAAGGTGATAAACAGAGCGAGGGAGAGTGAGAGGAGCGTTAGAGAGAGCAGAGAAAGGAACGAAGAGAAAGAAGCACTTGAAATAGACCATGAAAGGCAGAGAGAGAGAGAGAGAGAGAGAGAGAGAGAGAGAGACACAGACAGAGAAGATGGAGAAAAAGCACAGGCTGTAGCAGAGGTTAATTGGGCTCTAAAAAGAGCTAACACTGCACTGTGAGGTGAGGGTGAAAGAGGGGGGAAAGACAGCGAGAGACAGCGTGTGAAAACACCATCATCATCGTCACCGTCATCATCATCATCATCACCTCCTCTTCTGTTCTGACTGGTAAATCGATCAGATAGCACCCCAGCCATGTTACAACACTAGACAGCTCTTTGATTCTACTAATTAAAGTCAAGATTGCAGCTTTTTCAACACTTAACACTACGTTTGACATTTGGTGCCCACCAACACAAACAGGAAGCTCACATTCTAGCAGAACTAACAGCTCAGTGATGGCAGCAATTACTAGTTTTACTAAATCCAAAGCCATTTTCTCAGCATCTACATAAAGAACTTGTGTGCAGTTTGGGCACCTCTTGTCAAATGATGTGTTTTGAAGTTATAAGTGCACATCCTCTGCAGAGAACACACAAAACTATGTTTTCTTTACTGTTAATATAACATATTGCAGGCATGTCAAACTAGGGACCTTCCAGGCTAAAGTGCTGTGGAGATTAGTGTTTACACTCATCTAACGCTCTGAATTCAGTTTATGAAGGCGTTGCTAATTAGCTGATGAGCTGAATCAGGTGTGTTTAATGAGACCGTGTGCTGAAGTCTGCAGTGTGTTGGCCCGCGAGGACTGGAGCCTGACATGATGGAACATATTGGGAATTAAATAAAACATAAAATGTGGCCTGTGCAGATTCCACAATTTATTCTTTTTTTTCAAATTTGTTGCAAGTAAATAGAAACTGTGCACTAGAAAACTATTAAAGTTTGTTCCCTGTAGCGGATGTGTTCACTTATTTTCACTTAGAAAATCATCAAAATATGTCATTTTACCGGGGTGGTCAATGTTTTGCATACGACTGTATGCGTCCTAGTACTAAGAAGGGCCTGTTTCGTTTATAAATTGTCTATCGTCACTGTTGGAACACAGTCTCGTATCCCAGAAGTGGTAAATTTACAGTAGAAGGAAAAAAAACATTCTGAAGCTGTAACAGAAGTTCATGTGATAAGATTTTTTTCCCAAGTCATTTTGGAGTATTTCGATTGGCCCATTCGACTCAAAATTTCGAAATGAGTTTTTAAATTATGCAAAACAGTAAAAAAAAATGAAAAAAAAAGTGTAGATACAAAGTTTTGTGTGACAGTGCTGATATGATAAGTTGCAACTTTTTTTGCAAATTTTTTTCCCCAATTTTGTCCAAAATATAGTCATTGCAAATTCCACCTTTTTGCTAGTCTCGCAAGGCCAGACGGGGACAACTATAAGAAAGTTTTGTGCCAAATTTGGTGGGAACGTGGACTTTTTAGGGATGAACTGAGTGGGAAATTTTTAAACCAATCCAACACCATGAACATGATGCTGGTGATCAAACTAGGGGGTGATGGTGGGCTGTGGATGTAGTGTAAGTTGGAGGAAATGTTGCTCACCCAGTGTTGAAAAGTTTGAAACGTCAGACAATCAAGCAAAAGTATGTATTTATTCCATTAAATAAGCACTAAAAACAGACACAAACTAAGCAAACGGTTTAGCTTCTTGCTATCATCAGTGCTCATGAAGCAACTCTCTCAACAACCTACTTCCTTTTGAAGACTCAGATAAATTGCCCTCACCTGCTGGGGCCTCCTTAAAGTGACAATACACCAGCAAGAGGATATACTCAGTTACCAAAACAAAAATCTGATACACAAAGAACATCAGAAACTCTTTCAAAAATATAATACATTAATCAAAGATGTTTTTTTAATAGAAAACAATTGAGATTAAGATCTTCATTCATACGGAGATAAAAGTTCCCAAATCCAAAGGCCTCCCTCTGCTATAATCTTTTGTCCCGATCTTCCCCTCTTCTTTGCATCAAAAGAAGCTGAAACATTTGCTCAGTTTGTTTTTTTTGTATTCTATTTAATGGAAAAAATACATACTTTTGCTAAACTTGTCTGACTTTCATATCTTCATATCATAATCATAGTGCAACTTCCACTAAATCCCTCCCCTGGATACCTAGTCTAGTAAGTGTAACTGCAGTTGTAACTGCAGCTCTGATAAGCTTTGATAAGAGTTTCAGTTTCAATAAAAGAAAATGCCACAATGTTGTGTGGGGTATTTTTAAATCAGATGTTCAATATCCCCAGAGTTTGGACAGGGTGTGAAATTTTACTCGTTTACTAGACTGAAAATAAGTATTACAATATGTTTATTTTTGATACTGAAATACATTTAAAAGCAAGTACAATTGTACTCCCACTCAAGGAAACTTACACTTATATTATTACTGGAGGCTATCTGCTTTCACTGACGTACTGGAATTGTGCACTTTGTCCACCCCTGCTAATTGCTAATTCTGTTACACCAGCTAACAGACACCCATGTTGGCTAGCATTGTGTTGAGTGATTAAGGGATGGGGGGGCATCCTACCCCCTCAGAGGGATCGAATTCATGATCTGATGATTGGGCACTTATTGTGCAGAAGTTTAAGCTGATATTTTGATTCGTTTTGGGGATAGAGAGTAGGCATGGCTTCCATGCATGCCTTAAAATGAGTGCTATGGAAAAAAGTTGCAATCTTTAATAAGTCATTATTTTTGATGCATTAAATTAGATGCAAGTTTGTCCCTTTTTGCCTTGCTTAAAAAAACCAAACACATGTTCACACTGAAGCACATAAAATCTTTCAAACCTTGGCATTTATTACTCATATAACAGTACACTTTCGGCAACTAGGTATGTGTCTTGTATTAAGAAATGTTTGTGATTTATGAGCCATTAAAAATGAGATTCTACATTTCAAATGCATATTGCTCATGTCTGACAAAGGCTACTACATTATGATTTATACCAACAAAAAGATTTAGATGAATAAATAGACCAAGTAGGTATTTATAAAAGTAACAAACACCTCGTTTTGCAAAAGATGGAAATAAGGACGTGTTGTATTATAACAACACTGTTAACTAGTATGTATTTCATGTCAAAATAATGCACTCATATATTCTTCAGCAAATTCTGTAATGCACCATTATGCAAATGCAATGTTTGAGAAAAATCAAAGTTTGAAAATAGTGAAAGTTTGTTAGAATGTCTGTTTGAAGAATTTGAATGAGTTGGTGATTTAGTTCTTCATCAAACGGAAGACTATCTGCATCAGTGATTTTGTCGATATGCATCAGACCAGATAATTCCAACAATAGTGCTAATTTCTCCAAGCCTCTATTGGTTTTACAATGTTATGTCAGTGCGAAGCTAATGGTGGTGTACATTCACTTTCCCACACTGGGTTTAATACCACTTATGGCAGCTGTGGCCTAAACACTGACCTTTGAAGTTTATAAGACATTCAAGTAGCATATTTTTTCATTTACTATTTTTTCATTTACATGTTACAGTGTATCCTTAAGTAAATATTGCAATATAAAGCCTTTACTGAATGAGTCAGACTTCTCTCTTTCAATAATGCGCACAAAATCATGCTATCATGTGCTATTTTTCACCCATGTGAAGAGCTTTAGCCATAAGCATTTTAATATATGTGTGTGACTGTCGTCTGAGCACTGATGACAGCTGCATTGTCAATGGGGACCACGAAAGATGGCCAGAAGGTGACGACAGCCACGCGAATCGGTATGAGGGCAACAGCAGCCATGAGAGACAGCATGATGATGGCGCCCAAGCCTTGTGCACCGAAAGGGGCCACTACAGACAGCAGGAGGGCATGAAGACGGTGCCCAAGCCCTGAGCCCCACCTACTGTTCTGCAGCGAGGCCACTGCGCTACACCTGATGTTAGATCCTGGTGGCCGAGCTGCAGAGCAGTAGCAATGACGGTAACGGGGGGGTGGAGTGGCAAGCTCTCTCTTATCGTCTTCAATCAGGTGCTCATGCTGCCTCTAATGAGAGCAAACTGACGCTGGTTTGGCCTCGGCAGCAGAGGTCACTGAAACGTGTCCAGTATTTGACTTCATATTTGCTTTGTGTGAAGGAAAATAAACTAAAACACTTGCTGCCACCATCATGCCTACCGCCAGCATCCTTTTTCTGTCCAAAACCCAGGAGAAGAATGTAGATATGCTGAGGGGTCCACACCAGAGGGTGGAACGATCAAGGCCCTCCTCCATGGACAACTTGCCTACCAACAAGCCCTGCTTGGTGTGCTCTTGGCCGGACCCAGCAGATGGTCAGGAGCTTGCTGGTGGAAAGACACTCCTTGGTATGCCCAGGGCAGGAGTCCCTCTCTCATCTCCCCTCAAGCCTCCCATCCCTGCTCCAAGAAGGCTTAGAGCTCCCCATCTGTTCCTTCTCTCTTCTTCCACCCACCCGTCCCTGCACCTTGATGGTGAGGGGGCCTCCTTCCCCAACCCCTGCCGAGGTCACATGCTCCCTCTCCTATCCCACCTCTTCAGAAATGAGGAACTTTCCCTATGTCTGTCCCGGCTCCACTCCCAGGCCCCTACCTTGTTCCCTGAGTCCCTGGCCGGAGTTGGGTGATGGGGGTGCGTGCTAGGCGCTCGACCCCCATGCACTGATGACAGGAAAGAGGTGGCGCTCAAACCCTGTGCACCGACAAGGCTGATGTGGTTTGCAGTTTACAAAGTGATTAAACTGTACACATTTGTAATATTTATCTTTGAAACATTTCCATATATTGTTCCACTTTAGCATTTGCTAAATGTGAGAACATTGTGTGGGACACATTATTACTATAATTGTACACCTACCATTTCATTTAGTATTTGTAGTATAACTGTAGTATAATTTAGTATAACCTATTTGTTTCTACATGTTTTTGTCCATTTTATCAGCTCCACTTACCATGAAGCTGCACTTTATGGTAGTTAGCCACCTTTTACCCTGGTTTTCAATGGTCAGGACCCCCCACAGGACACCCATTATGTTATTTTATGTTTTGTTATGTTCTTATTTAATGGCTCATAAATCAGAAATCTTCATAACTTTAAGACTAATACCTAATTGTCAAAAGACCACTGTGGTATAAGTAATAAACACCTAAATTTCAATCACCTGAGGTGCTTTGATGTGAAGATATGGAGATGTGCTCCAATGCACCAAACAATATACATTTTTCCCACATTTTCAGTAAGCCACATATCTGCATCTGTATCTATTGTTTTGGTTAAACAAACATTCAACTAAAAAATAATCCTCAGCAATTTCATGCGTCCAGCTTCAATAGTCTGAAAGTAATGAGTTGGCTCTTTTATACCTTTTTCCATTGCAATTTTAAGGCAAAAATGGAATTCATGCACACCTTTAAAAGCCTCTGTATCCCTTATAGTAATAAAGACACAAGCGTAAAATTTTGCACACTATATTTTAGACACAAAGACATTATTTACTGAATGTATTAAGCAAATCTGGACAGGTGGAAGGCCTTTAGTAGTGTCACACGGATTGACCCTTCTGTGTAGAACAAGTGGAATTTGTGGAGTTTTTTGGCTGTACTGGACAACAAATTGTTCATCTTAGAAAACTGAGTCCAGTTATTTAGCAGCTGCAATAAACTGAAGGAGTAACAGCTGGGCTGTTGTACTATAAAAAGAGATGATTATTTACCCAGTCCAGATCTTGGCTCTGCTGGGCATCGCTGCTCGAATCCTCCTTGGCGTCATTTTTCCGTGGCGTTCCCCCTTCGGATGCAGTGGCACCATCCTGCGATGCTGTTCCCTCCCTGGAACTGTTCCCTGCCTCCCCAGGCCCCACATACAAAGCCCCTGGCCCCAGGGGTCCCACCACTGCCCCCTGGTTCTGGATGACCAGGGAGTGGTCTGGTTGGCCCCCAGGAAAGCGGTAGCCCAGCTCAGCCAGACCAGGCTCATAGGGAGCCTGTGAGCGTCGGAGCACAGGGAGCGTTTGGCTGCTGTAACACAAGCGGCCATACAGGGGAGCCGTCTGGCTGTGATGACCGCTGTCCAGCACCCCTGACTGGGCCCAGCTGCTGTATGTCCGTGCCTTATCCTGGCCACGCTGGGAATAACGTCTGGAGAACATTGGGAAAGCAGAAGAAGTACTATGAGCCGCTGTGCTTTGTTAACATATAACATAGTTGACTTATAATTAAAACGTCCAAAAGTTTGTGGACACCTGCTCGTCCAGTGTTTCTTCTGAAATTAAGGGTATTAATAGGGAGTTTGTCCTCCTTTGCTGCAGTAAAACCCTTACTCTTCTGGGAAGGCTTTACACTACATGTTAGAACATTGCTGTGAGGATCTGATTGCATTCAGTGACGGTGCAGTTTAGTCCAGGACCAGCTTACACACAATTACTAATAATAGTAATTGTGCTTACAGCACATCAAGAATCAGTGATCTCCTAACATTATAGAGGTCATATGTGTGGCTTATCAGCTCTGTTTGTCTCTAACCATCAGTGAGTAGCTTGACTTGAATGTAGCAGGCAACACACTGTCCCCACTGTTTTTGTCAGCTCTGTTTACGGCAAGCAGGACAGAAAAAAATGTCGTCAAATCGTTTAAAGCAATTTCAACTTCAGTCATGCTACGGTAGCTAGTGGTGTCAGCTATGACATCAACTTAGCTAGCTAGCAATGTCAAAGGGGAATTCAATCCATTTTTGAACAGAAAGGTTATGCGATGTAGACAAAGTCATTGACAGTGTTTTGATGTGAAATGGTGCACTGTAAAATAAAAAAATCTACTCCTATTTACAGTAGAAGCCAAGTATATGTAGCCATTTTATTTACTACCCAAAACCACTGGTGAACCGACATGTGCCATGCTTATATGTAATGTCAATAATACCATGCTGATAATGGCAAAATGTGGGTAAATCTGAAAAGATTGGTTTGCTTGGGTACTATGTTGCCTTACAGCGCCCTGCATGTGCCTATTTTTCTTTCAAAAATACATTTTAGGTCAAAACTGTCATAAAACAATGTCTCAAATATCAAGCGATCATAAGTAGGGTTGGGCAGTAAGATGGTAACAAGGTAAGAAACAAAGAGAACAAAAACAAGCTAGAAATAAATTTCTATTCCACATCTCAACTGCCAAATTCCATGCATTTATATTTTAGCGGGCTCACTGATTGGTGGTATGGAAGCTCCAATAGGTGGCACAGATAGAAAGAGGGGAAAAAATCAGAGCCAGGAAAAACCTCTGGAAAAACTAAGTGTGATAGCTCAGTAGCGGCTCTGAGTGCTACTGAGTGTGTTTACATGCTCGTAATAATCTCATAACTGCAGAGAATCTGCTGTGTTAAATTCTGCTCGCTGTTTCCAGGACAGCGGTCTGTTTTTTCATATGTGCAGACTGAGAAAAACGAAAGAAATCAGAGTAAGGGTATACATGTGCTAAAAAACAGATCACTGAGCTAAAATCCAGGTCTCTTAATCAGATTTCTAGGCCTTAATCCAGCCTAAGAAATCGGAGCATGTAACATTAGTAAATGTTAGACCGAGGACTTCACACATATTGAATGATAGCTTGAAAATGGTGCACTGTGTTCACTTATTCAGTGTTCATGTAAGATGAGCATCATAAGTGCTTTTACATCCACCCCGGCATCCACCCCTCAACAATACAATATACTAAACGGCTAGACGGTATGAAAAAAGATGATCCCATCCAACCCTATGTAATAGCTTTCTGTGAGATAGCTTTTAGAGGCAGACGTCTGGTTCCTATCACCACCACTGTGAACAAATCTAACCACATCAAACCACTCTGAATGACTTTGCTGACATCGTAACCATATAATTATGCAGAAATGTTGAAAAATAAGCCTTTAAAACAATGGGAACCAGTGCTTAGCATATCAACGCATTCTAAATTTATGCACCTTGGCAAAACTACATTAATATTTCTCATGTTTAATGGGATTTTTGCCAGTGTTCTGCAAAGCCTGTCCAAGCTCACAACAACCGCTGTGAATTTGTGCGTAGAGCATGGAAAGGTCACTAGCGTTCCTGTCACCTTGTTAGCATATTTAGCAGCTCAACACTTCCCTCTGAGAGGAGATAAAAAGCATGAATGGTGTGCTTGTCTAGTCTGTCAGCGTGAATTGAGCCCAGGCCCACTCACATATTTCTGCTGTCCAGGGTGCGGTACCCCCTGTGCGCGCTGTGGGGGGCGCTCTGGAGCGCTGTGATGTCGAACGCAGCGGTGTCCGCCTCGCCGCCTCCCTCGTCATCATACGTTATGATGTTCTCTCTGACATCGTCTTCCTCCAGAGGAGAGAGGGAGTCCCTTTTTTGGCGGCGCAGGGACAGAGAGAGAGCACTGACAGCTAGAGAGAGAGAGGGAGAGAGCAGGGGAACCAAAGAAAGACAGAGTGAGAACCAGCGAGAGTCATTTATAAAAGGAAAGACTTATTGTTTGTAGTAGATGACAGATTTGTGCAATAAAATTGCAGGGTGCCCCAGAGAGACAGAGATTCAATAGGCACATTAGACGACGTGGCATACAGACAGACACTCACACAGACAAACGACTAGTAATTACAAACATGATCCTTCTCGGCTATGGAGAGGAGAAGCTTTCCGTGCCAGATCTTCAAGCAGTCATAAAATATTGAGAGAAACGTGCAACGCGTTACACAGATGACACAACTTCTCATTAGTGACATGCTGAAAACGTGGCAAACTAAAAAGCACCACCTTTTTTGCATTGCTATGATGTCGCTTAATCGCTTTACTGAAGAACAATTAACAGAGATTTGCTTTTTAAGAATAAATTCCTGTCAGAAGTGAAAGCAATCCACACTGAAAGCTCCACTCACTGTGTGGTTAATCATTGCATTTGTTTACGGCTCACTCGATCAAAATGGTTCAAAGTCAGAGATGAAAACACAATTTAGACTTTTTACTGATTTGGACTTTTGACTAAAACCCTTTCGCTTTTAGTGCCTCTACATCTTAATTATGTTTACTTTATTAAAATAAATGTCTGAACCTGCCATTTTGTCACTACCGAAACTTTACCGGTGTTTCGGTAGTGACAATTTTAGCTCATTTCAAGCAGAGTACACAGCTAGCAAATACAGCTTTGAACAGTTATACACACATAACATTTCAATATTTTTCAGTAAAAACACAAAAAGATTACTCAGTTGAAGAAAATATATGTTTCAGTAGTGACAGTTCTTAATGTTCCACACTGATTTTCAGATTTTGGGATACATTAACATCAAAATAATGGGATCTAACTGCTCACCATGTGGCCATGAAGGACAGGGATGCAGTCTCACTTCCTGCTCTACAATTCAGGGGTGTGGCTAAAATGAGGCCCCGCCTATGGTCTAAAACTCTTTGTTGCGGTAATGAAATTGTGGGACAGCATTTTCCATTTTTTTTTATTATTATTAAAAAAATCATGATAAATCAAAGTTTTTAGCTTCACTTTAAAAGAAATCAGAAAATCATTTTAAATACAACATTTTTAAAAATGAAATTTAGGTGTTTATGTTTGGAACAGCCATCTCTCAATAGAAAGTACCCTATAAAAGATGATTTAAAATATATTTAGCTGATTATTATCTCTACTAATGCCTTGGGTTTAAATAAATCATGATATCATATTTGTAAATATTTAGGGTATTAACATTATTTATTTTATTATTTTGTTTTTTTACTGTGGGATCACATTTTGAACTGAATTCAATAGAATGGTGAAGACCTATTAGTGGTCCTTGCATTCCTATCAACACTATGTGGCAAAAGAATAATCACTGTCCAGTCTAGTGACACTGTCCAGTTATAATTGGTAATTTGTTTTATTGGGTTCTCTTTATTTTTACTCTATTGCTATAAAAGAACAAACTTAAATGAAGATCATGTCATAAAGTGTTTACAAACTTGCAAGCAGCACTGTATTTATTAGCTTCTACATCAGTGGAACGTCAGTAGATTTCTTTGTCGCCATGGGGGGGTGGATTCCCAAGACATTATTGGATGAAAACGGATAAAAAAATTTAATTCCATCGAACAAATAAGGCTAAGGGATGCAATGTTGTGCTACAGAGTATTGCATAACATAAATATCATGCTACATCATCGTTTAAGGCTGCAATGGCCCATTATGGTCAGACATGGAGCCTTCTCATTGACATTCATGGCATCTGGCAGACGTTCTTATCCAATTTGATTAGTTTACCTTGGTTTGGCGAAGGTAGTGTTAGGAGTCCAAGGCAGAAATTGGAATACAGGTATAGTGTAGGGTGCTTGCCCCGGTCTACAGCATGGCTGGCAGAGAAGTTACCAACTACACTTTACCAACCACGCAACTCCATATGCAACTGTGCAGACCATCTTACCCAAAAGTGTGGCCACGCAGGCTAAAATAGCCAGCAGGGCAGCAGTGCTGAGTCCAGGGGAGGGCAGCGAAGAGTGCTGGGGCAGACACACCGTCTCCCTCTCCCATTCTGCATCGCTCTGTTTCTCCTTCTCCCCGGCCCTCGCCCCTCCTTTCAGACAGGGACAGACGGACACGGTGACCGTCCCGGTGCTGGTCAGGCCTGAGGAGCCATCCCTCAGGATCAGCGGGACATGGAGGGTGAGGGAGGAGGAGGAAGAGGAGGAGCGAGAGAGCGCCTGCAAGGGCGAGGCCAGCACCAGGCTCGCGGTGGGGCCTGGAGAATAATGGAGAAATGGAGAGATAGAGGGTTAGAAAAGAGGGGCTTTTAGATCAAATGGAGCCGGATAGACGTTTAATTCAATTGAAATCAATCGAGTGCACTTTAATTCCATTGCCTCGCCGCTACGACATTTGTACAGACCACTGAGTCCGAATGCGGCGGGTTGGTGGGGGGGGGGTTGAGGATGCCAGAGCGCATTCTTTCTGAGCGCAGGGGAGAAGATGGATGTGGCGGAGAGAGGCGAAGGCAAACAATGGGGGGAAAACAAAAGGAGCGGTGCACAAAGGAGCCGTACAATGCCGTCGCATAGACAGAGATGATGAAGGTGGAAGCGGAAACACAGAGGGAGAGAGAGTGAGGCGGTGGGAGACAGATAAAACGGAAGAGCGAGAGAGATGTAGAGAGAAGCAGTGAGGGAGAAAGAGAAAGTTAGAGAGAGCGAGGAGAGAGGGAGAGAATCGGCAGGAGGGATCAAACGAGGAAGTGGCAGAGAGAGACAGAAAGACGATGCACACCTCCGCTCTCTCTGATGCTGAAGTTGAGTGCGGCGCTGGACTCTGGAGGAATGTTGAAATGGACGGTGCTGTCATTGCCTCCCTCGTCTCTATCAATCGCTCTCAACACCTGCACCACCTGAGAGAAAGAGATAGAAGGAGAAACGGCGAGAAAGGAAAAGAGGGCAGAGCCAAAAAGCGGGAGAGCAAGTAGAAAAAGAAAAAAAAAAAGACAGGAAGAAAAGTGGGGTGGGATTAGTTTCCACACTTAATGCCAGACATCTGTATTAAGCTTACCAGCCCCCAGCCCCGCAAACAGGTAACGAGAGACTGATTAATGCAAAGCACGAACACAAACGATAATTAACTCTGACCCCAGTATTGAGCCTTGGGGAACACCTATGCGCAGAAACAGGTTTTAGCGTGTGCTCGGAAAACTCCCAGATCTAACCCAGGAGACTCACTTAGGCTAGAAATAATCACACACTTCCAGACTTGTTTCAAGGATCTTTCCCCGCAGCTCGGGGACCCAGTTAAAAGAAAAACATGAATTGCGCAATATGGACAGCTAGTAGGACAGTTATGTCGGCGCCGGTTCTTTGAGATTTTGTAACACGTGGAGATTAAGACACTGTCAAGTCATATTAGCGATTCACTACATCTTCAAGGCCATGCAACTTCCCAGCCCGGACTGGCTCCTGCTACAGACAGTTACACAAACGCTGAGTGAGCTATGTGGAGTATCTCAGTCAGGCACAAGCGAGTTAAACGCTGGAGATGAGACACGTGCTGAGGCAGCTGAGCAGATGGACATGGAGACCCAATTAAAAATAAAGAAGTGGGAAAATAATATGAGACAGGCAGCGAAACGGAAACAAACATTGATGTAGACGTTCAAAAGATACGTGGATTAAAAAAGTAGCGAGAGAAGGCGAGCATCAAAAGATGAGGAGGCGTTCTGCTGTAGGTGTACTGTACGTACGTTAGAGATGTTAAAGGAGTGTGACGTTCTGTAATGGAGCCAGTCTGGGGTAAAGATTTAGCCCCAGGCTTTGGCAAATATGGTATACGTTTCAGTGTTCGGCAACAATTATGCAAGCATGCAGACGGAAGATTACACACACCAGAGGAGTTTTTAGCCGTGTAGGGCATTATTAACACAAAGAGCATGCATGAGTGTGTTTAAAGAAGTCTAGGGCATTCATAAAAGCAAACAAATAACAACAGACTAACCGAAAACACTACTGTGGTGTTCCTTTGTGCATTTTATTAGACATTACACAGAGATTTACAAGGGCCATAATCTTTTTTTCTTGTATTTTTCCCCACTGATGTACAACTCTGATAATGTTTGTGTGATTTAATGTACCAAAAACGGCCCAAAGGCTTTTCATGATTTCCCAACCTCTCTTTTTTGATAATTACACAGGCTGTTTTTGCTTTTGCACCTGTAAGCCTGAAATATGTAAAATACCTCTATTCTGATTGGCTGCCCTGCATTTTGCCTCTTTCAAAAAGCAGTAACAACACTCTCTATGACTTCAGCTTGAATGAGCAGGCAAAACCACTGTAGGTCAAATAGGCAGTCATATATAAATGCCATGGATGCAATGGTTAAGAATTTTTATGGTGGATTCCTCTACTGATTTGTTTACAGCCGAATTAGGTGACAGCTTACTTTTTTGTCTGATTTTTATTAGCCTTTTATTTAACCCAAAGCACACTGCATATGCTAAACAGAAAATAAATATACAGGGTGATTCAAAACGATTCATCCAATTTCAAAATGATTTATTTCACTTGTAAATTATTACAGAACAATGCAGTAAATTGTAAATGGTTTAATTGAGCATAAAGTTTATCATGTAATTTTACAGGTGCTTAACAGGTGCTCCTGCTGCTGTACGGACAACATCAACACTGTAGTCAAATTCATCCCATACTCGATTGTGCATGTCTGAACTTGGAACTTGGAACTGTTCTTGGAACTGTTGGTACCAATGACGAATGCTCTGAGCTGTTGGAGGTTCTCTGCCGATGAAAATATATATATATATATACACCGATCAGGCATAATATTATGACCTCCTTGTTTCTACGCTCATTGTCCATTTTATCAGCTCCACTTACTATATAGGTGCACTTTGTAGTTCTACAGTTACAGACTGTAGTCCATCTGTTTCAATGCATACTTTGTTAGCCCCCTTTTACCCTGTTCTTCAGTGGTCAGGACCCCCATGGACCCTCACAGAGCAGGTACTATTTGGGTGCTGGATCATTCTCAGCACAGCAGTAACACTGACGTGGTGGTGGTGTGTTAGTGTGTGTTGTGCTGGTACGAGTGGATCAGACACAGCAGTGCTGCTGGAGTTTTTAAACACTGTGTCCACTCCCTGTCCACTCTCACTCCTACCTTGTCAATTCACCTTGTAGATGTAAAGTCAGAGGCGATAGCTCATCTGCTGCTGCATAGCTTGTGTTGGTCATTCTCTAGTCCATCAGTGGCCACTCATACCAGTTCAACACACACTAACACACCATGTCAGTATTACTGCAGTGATCCACCAGCCCAAATAGTACCTGCTCTTTGAGGGTCCATGGGGGTCCTGACCACTGAGGAACAGGGTAAAAGGGGGCTAACAAAGTATGCAGAGAAACAGATGGACTACAGTCTGTAATTGTAGAACTACAAAGTGCATCTATGTAGTAAGTGGAGCTGATAAAATGGACAATGAGTGTAGAAACAAGGAGGTGGTCATAATGTTATGCTCGATCGGTGTACATATCGCTGTTGTCTGAATAAAACCTTGTATCTCCTAAATGATAACTTTACAGGAGAAGGAAAAAACAATTTTAATTTAAGTAAATGGAACTAGACTTTTTTCCAAGTAATTTTGGGCCGTTTCTTTTGGTCCCACACACACACACATATATATATATATATATATATATATATATATATATATATATATATATATATATATATATATATGTATTCATTCATTGTTGCAACACCATTTCGCTATTTCGCTATTTTTCCATGGTTTCCATGGAAAAAATGGGGATGTTTCTTTTATTTCAAAAAAGCAGTCTATTCTTACAGATGACCTGAGAAGCACTTTAAAAGCTTCAAATACTCGCTGAAATTTCTAAAAAAAATGTAAGTGCTTTTCAGGAACAGATTTGCTCAAATTTTAATCACTGTTTCAGTTCAGTTTCAGCACAGGCTGTGCTAGGCATGCATCTTTTCTCCATGCCCACTTTCTACCTCATTCTAAACTATATTTAAAACAACATTTTACTAAAATGAGATGACTTTGCAGGTGTTGTGCTTTCTGAGCAGCTCCTGTGCTGTACTAATAGTGTGTTGTGGACGCTCTTATCTGATACAGCATTAAAAATTCGGAATAAATAATCTGTTTGCACTGTTAAGTTTTAAACCAGCTGTAAAACTTTTGAAAACAAAACATAGTTAAAAAGAGCTAATATTCCAGCCTGAAGTGGTTACACAACAGAACTGTATACAAACTGAATGTAAAGCAATGTAGTTTGTAGCTCTAAGGTGAGGTGATGCAGATGCCTGTTGTCAACTTATGATGCATTCATCTAAATCAGGACTTATTTAATTAGTTTAAACATTTTACATATATTAAAGATAACTACACTCAAAAAAAATATTTGTGCTTTGAAAAAGAAGCCTCTGAACACTAAATAGAAAAACAAATACCCTCGTAAGAAACAAATACACAAGTATTAACATTATTTGGGCCTATTCACTTATTCATATAGCAGATGCCTCACCTGTCCAGCAGATGCGGAGTCACACATGGCCGTGTTGTACTGTCGGTCCAGTTCCGGGGCATTGTCATTCAGATCCAGTGTCTCGATAGCAACCACCACCCTGGATACTTGGCTGGGGTTGTCTGAGGTGAGAATAAACAAAGGCAGTTTACTGGAACTTTCGACTGCATGCAAGGTTTAGCATGAAGCCAGCAAGCTTGGACAAACATAAACGCTATATACCCACGTTCGTACCTTGAAATGTGTTTGCTACCCACTTCAGAGTAAATTACAGGCTTGTAAAGTTCAAAACACACATAACGCACACACACGGAAACCCACATAACCACGGCTGAAGTGACGTTTTTAAAAACTGAGACTTCAGCAGTACTTCAATCACTCATCCCATTCTGGACTAATGGCTTGTCATAGCAAATAAATAGCTTTTACCAGGGTGTATTGGTACAGTATGGGCCTGTCGTAGCGGGGAAATGGACTTAATGGATTGGTACTGAGCCTGAGAAAGCACGCCTGCAATCGCTCTCGCTCATTATGATTCAGCCCCACACGCTCAGCTCTGGCTTGGACTCTATTCACACGAATGTTTTTGGACTGCTTTCACACACACACATGCACGCACACACACACACACATGCCCGGTGCTGTAACATCATGTTGTGGATTAGTGCCCATTGCACCACATTGCTGGAAATAAGCTCCTTCTACAATAGCTATCAAGCCTGTCTCGAATAGCATAATGCAACTTTTCCACAGGCGGATAAAAGAGCAGCACTCAGTCCCCAGTGTTCACAACTGTGGCTTCCTATACATATTACCAGTACAAACAAGAATACACTGCATATTATTAAACTTCACATCTTATTCCTTTCACACCAGTCATGCTATTTTTACGTGAGTAAATAATGCCAACTGTCTCATGATATGATGCTTAATATGATAAATGTGTCATGATTCAATATAGCATGATGGATTATGATACTACAATTCACCTATCCGTGCTCCACCCACAAATATGTTCCATAAATAAAACTGATGCTAGGCTGGAAAACCTTCACAGAACAGAAAAATCCTATTTAGCATGAAAAGAAACTGTAGCACTAGCGCAGTTAGCCCTGCAGGCTATAGCTCAGAATACCCCAGAACAGGCTCAATATTGGCCTTCTGTGGCTCCAACACCAGTCACTCAACTGCAGACCACTATCCAGTCAGAATCAAACCTGCACTGCAATATTTGGATCTATAGACCACTAGCTAAGCTGCACCATATGACCAAAACTTTGTGGACACCTGACCATCACACTTATATGAGCTTGTTGGACATCCTGTTCCAAAACCATGGGCTATAACAGCCTCCACCCTTCTGGGAAGGCCTTCCACAAGATTTTGGGTGTGTCTATGGGAATTTGGGCCCATGTCATCAGTCCAGAGAGCATGTTTCCACTCTTCTGAGTCCAGAGATGGCGTGCTTTACACCCCTCCAGCCGACACTTGGCATTGTGCATAGTGATCTTAGGCTTGTGTGCAGCTGCTCAGCCATAGACACCTATTTCTTGAAGCTCCAGATGAACAGTTCTTGTGCTGATGTTGCTTCCACAGGCAGTTTGGAAGTCTGTAGTGAGCCTTGTGAGTTTGCCTTGTTTAATGCTTTGAGCTGTTGTTGCTTCCTTTTCACAGTAATAGCACTTACAGTCGACTAGGGCAGATCCAGCAGGGCAGAAATTTCACAAATTGACTTGTAGCAAAGGTGGCATCATATAACAGTGCCAAAATTGAAGTCACTGAGCTTTTCAGTACGACCCATTCTACTGCCAATGGTTGTCTATGGAGATTGCAAGGCTATGTGCTTGATTTTATACACCTGTTAGCAATGAGAGTGTCTGAAACACCTGAACTGGATCATTAAGAGGGGTGTTCACATACTTTTGGCAACAAAGCATGTGATGCCTATTATGATAATGATGTGTCATGATTAAATATATCACAACGCCTGACGATACTGCAATTCACCTATCCATGCTCCATCCACTAATACGTTTCTCAATAACAACTGCTAAGTTGAACATATAGAGAACAGAAAAAAAACATATTCAGCATGAAAAGAAACTGTAGCCCATAATTCAGTCTGACTCAAAATACATACATTTAAAGTATGTATTTAAATTAAAATATTAATTTCAAATGGTTATTTCTTTTGTATGCATGTGAAAAGTCACAATGTTCGGATAGACTGTCATTAGCATGGTGCCAATTTTGTTGTTGCTTCTTGGCTAGTTTTGATTAGCTACAGCAATGCAGCCCTGCTAGCATTTTAAACAGGAAACTCTGCCTTTTGTAGCAACCCTAAAAAAGATCGCTACAGTTATTAGTAGGGCTCTGATTTAGTTCGAGGAGTGAAAACACCAAACTGGAAATGAAGAGTATGACCTGAAAATCATCCTTAATTGTTCTAGAATAGAAACCTTCATTTGAAAAAAAACAATAATGACATTATTTTTCATCCCATGCAGCCCACCAGCTTATCATTCATGTCTTACCTGCCAAATTTATCACATGTTGTTGGCTCAACATCACATTTTGGATTAACATCAGATTTATATTTAGATCTACATCTAGATATGTAATGTTTATCTATAAGTGTACAACATAAGCAGACAAGAGCTCTGAGTGTCCTCTATGCCTTTCCATTCACTCTCACATGATTTAATTTGTCGTTTCATAATGTAATAAACCATTTAGCCAGCTAGAGTGTCTAGACTTGGGGAATTTGGCAATGTGTAACACTGAATTTGGTCTTATTTTGATCATAACAACCTCTGTGCAATTAGTATTAGGTTTTTCATAGCAAAGTTGGAACAATTCACTGATTGGCAGATTCAACATTAACATAACCTTGCCATAAACATGTCGTGGCAGATGTCAAATGCTGACATCTGTCATGACGGGGTAATGGTAACATAATGCTGCTGTATTACTGAACATAATATGTCATGACAGCTGATGACAGCATATGACATCTGCTATGATGCTTATGGCATGACTATGCTTATGGCAATGTTATGTATCAGGGTTCAAGTAACATGTTACCCAGTAGTTTGTGTGTACGTGTAAATGTGTCCTTGTGTAAAAGGAACAGGAATTAAGTGTTTTTCATTTTAATCTAATCGGCTAAAGAACAATATGCTGGGGTTGGAAATGACAAATGGGAAATGTGACAATGTCGGTTCTGTCTGGAGCAAAGAGATTGATTTGTCAATGTTTCCGAGCCCTGGTAACTATGTTATTAGATTGAATGGGTTTTTTTGCCAATGTTCTGTAAAGCTTGTTTAACAAGCGCAAACCATTTGCGATGATTAATGTGGAAAACAATTGGAAATAATGGTAGGGCTGTGTGATGAATGTACTTTTATGCTTATCCATGATAAACACAACACTACCGGCCTCTAAAAATGCTTCAAATGCGATGATTACTCCCACTTTCAGTGTTGCGTGTGCTAAATGCACAGGTATGAAGCAGTAACAGCTACTGTTACAACAAACGTGCATCATCATAAGGAATTAAATATATATATATTCATTTGTTTCAGTAGGCCTATTAATTCATGTTTGTAGCCTGACCGAAAACACTAATGGAAAAATAGGCCCAGGGAATCCTGACTGTTTTTAGACTGAAGCACCTCATGAAACTCACTCACATTTGGGAGAGTACAAATTCTCCACAAGGGGGTGCCACTAGCATTCAAATAGCTTCTGATGCATCATAAGAGCTTACAAGTGCACAAAAATGCGCTTGCAGTTCTGTTGCCAGTAGCATTTAATATTTCATTATTTTTCACTTTTATAATACTCAGCGGTATTTTTTTTTCTTATGAAAGATAAGGCAAATTTCTGTCTACACAGCCAAAAAAACTCTGTATTTGCACCACATGCAGTCAAGATCACACTACTCAATGCTAAGCTGAGTATAAGAGCTATAGAGGAATCCTTATGAGATTTCCTTGCTTGCACAGAACATTGGAATATCTTCGAAGTGTTAAAACTGCTGTAACTTTGTTTAACCTTGCAGAGATATGGTAATGAGCCAACCAGGCAACCTTCTTGACTATAAGAGGTTTGCTCATTGTGTACCAACTGTACTATACTGCATTGCAGAGCTGTATTGCGTATGTGTGGTGAAGACCCATGGGTACCTCTCTGAGTGGCAATGATGGTGACGTTGTGCCATTGCTCGTGCTCGCGGTCCAGCTCCATCGCTGTAGTGATGAGTCCGGTGTCTGGGGCGATGCGGAACAGAGCCTCTGGATCTGACTGGGGATCAATTGAGTATCTGAGATAGAAGGAAGGTGAGATAGAGGCAGTTGAGACAGCTTAAAAGACCCTGAGCAAACGGAAAGAGGGGAAACAATGGACAGACATTGGAGGTAAGGGATAAGGGAAGTAAAGAAGAGATGAGAGGGCGATCAAAGCCCAGTGCTGGCACAAGTGAAAGTCTGAGCTGTTGGACCTGTTTGGCCTGCAGATGGCTCAGAGGGGGGCACAGTAGCTGGTTGCGGTTTGGGTGCTGGGGGTTTGCATCCCAGACTAAACACTGCAGGAAAACTTGCCAAAAATGATGCTTTGGTAACACTAGCCTGGTAACTTGCAAGGCTGTCACTATTAGACTAGTAATGAAGTAAACGTCTGATTATTTTGACGTTTAATTGCGGAATTGAGTTCAATAAAGGGGCAGTTAAAAAAGCTCCCTTACTACAAAACCCAAAAGGGTTCTATATAGTGCCAAAAAAGGGTGCTCTGGCTTGTAACAATAGTGGAACCCTTTTTGGTGCTATACAGAACCATCTACAACACATAAGAGTGTATAGCGTACAACCTTTGGGAATCCTTGTGGTGTCAACCAATCCTGACTGCTGGCCTAGTGTCCAGCTATAGGCTAATAAATACAACCCGGCTAGCATTAGTGTAACCCTTACCTCAGCAGACACATAAAATCAGTGAATTGTAAGAAAGAAAACAGTGATTCTGTCCTTATTCAGCACAAAATGGATACTAGAGACAAACTTTTACCTTTAAGCCAAACTGAGATTAGGTATCTGGACAGCCCATTAGTTACTTCACTAACTGTAGCTTTTAGCTTGCTGTATTCCTCATCTGATGAGTCATTTCTATTTGAGTAATCCATTTTCACCGTTGGAATGATCAAGATTTGCAGTTGGAGTTTTTCCACAAGTTCCTCCCACATAATCAGATCAAAGTATCACTGCAACATCATTAAACAGAATCGCAATTCAATCATTAACCATAATATTTGCACAAGTCTAGGATTCAGTCTCGTATTACCTGCTTGTGCTGAGCCATTTATGCACATCGGCACCGCAGCCAACAATGGCTTCGGGCAATGATGTCCTTCACTGATTTGTGCCCACTGCATTTAATTATCACGAAACTGACAAACATGCATGCCTCACCAGACACCAGGTCTGTCCTGCTCTGGGCAAAATAGGTTTTGTGAACAGACATTTATACATGCGTCTGCCACAGTGTCCATTTTACCAGCTCCACTTACCATATAGTTGCACTTTGTAGTTCTACAATTACAGACTGTAGTCCATCTATTTCTCTAGGTGTGATTTGGGTGGTGGATCATTCACAGCACTGCAGTGACACTGACGCGGTGGTGTGTTAGTGTGTGTTGTGCTGGTACGAGTGGATCAGACACAACAGTGCTGCTGTGTCCACTCACTGTCCACTTCTACCTTGTTAGTCCACCTTGTAGATGTAAAGTCAGAGATAATAGCTCATCTGTTGCTGCACAGTTTGTGTTGGTCATCCTCTAGTCCTTCATCAGTGGTCACAAGACGCTCCCCACAGGTGGACTATTGTCAGTCTAGCAGCACTGCTGTGTCTGATCCACTCATACCAGCATAACACACACTAACGTCAGTGTTACTGCTGTGCTGATAATGATCCACCACCCAAATAATACCTACTCTGTGGTGGTTCTGTGAGGGTTCTGACCATTGAAGAACAGGGTGAAAGGGGGCAAACAAAGTAGAGAAACAGATGGACTACAGTCTGTAATTGTAGAACTACAAAGTGCTCCTATATGGTAAGTGGAGCTGATAAAATGGACAGTGAGTGTAAAACAAGGAGCTGGCTTTAATATTATGGCTGATCAGTGTACGTGCATGTAGTGTTAAAATGTGCACAAGGAGGCAGTGGATGCATCTACCATTCAGGGTCATATAAATGCTTATGATGAATTTTCTTGGTCAGTCAGTCCTTGAATTGCTCCACAGTCCTGTGTGCTTTTTGTTGTTGTGAAGGACTCGTTTTGGGCCTGGACCCAATCCTCTATTAGATATATTTACCCAATTCAACTAATCTTTCTGCACTGCAGATTTGTACAGCATGTAGTTTTTAGTAGATTTCAGAGGTGTGCAAGCCTCAGTGAGCCTCATGATTCATGGGAATTAATAAAATACATTCTTATACTTGCTGTATTTAAAGTATTCGTTCGGTTGGAAAAACTGTCCAGTCAGGATTTCTGTCACCATGGTTTGTAAGCAGACAACATAGATATGCATATATAGATGCCACGTTGGGTTCAGCCAGGCACATCAACAGCACTTCCATCTTGAGGAGGTCAACATTGCTGCCAGACTTCATTTAATACAGTTACAGAGGGTTGGATGGGATTATATAAAGAGGGAATGTAGCAATCTTTATTTACAGATATGGCTCTGGAGTTGGTGAAGCCCAGAACTCATCGGTGTAACTCTTTTTCCTCTAGTTTTGTATTAAGCTGATTTCATATCATGACCCATATAGGGCACCTTAACGTGATGTGAACTGTAGTTACACTATCCAATCTGGAAACTTCACATTAGATTAGCACCTTCTTGCTGTGGTTTGGGTGTTTTATATGCCAAACATGGCTATGTGCATGAAGCTTGGCAGTAATTCACACATTGATGGGTGTGCTGACGTGTGACTGTTTCTACCGGGATTCGCGCTAAACTCAGTGCTATCAGCCTTTAACACCAGGTGCAGATGAAATGCATTTCCTGCTCTTGCTCCAGACAGCCAGCTAACCAGCACGCCCTCATTTATGAAACAGAAATGAAAGCAAACCCACAAAAATGTCAGAAATCCATACTATCAATGTATTACTTACATTTATTTTGTAGCGCTCTAGACTGTACTTGGAAGCAAGTAGTACAAATAAAGAAATCTGCCACTCTGTGATCACTTCTACAGACTCAGATTGAGCTCTACCGCAGGACTTAGGCCTTTATAAACAGTTCATTTACAGCCATCTGTTCATAACCAAAGTGTTTTACAAATATAGAGCCATATAATATTTAAATATATTTAAATAACCAACAGCATGCAGAAATGTAACAAAGAAAACGGTGAAAAACAGAATAAGCAAGGTATGGCCGATTTCATCACATAACATATCTCAATACACGTTTTTGTTTACAAGCGGATCGTGACCGTTCTAACATCGCAGATGTGCAGACCTATCGCCTTAGATTGAGAACAACAGACAACGCAACATCTTTGTATTTAAATCTATGGTAGATGCAGCCAAGAAAGCTCTCCCATTGGTTAGGACTTCAGAAGCTAGACAGAAGACCTTTATGCATTAGTATGCATATTAGTATTGGTAATGGCACATAACTGCTAGTATAATAAGGCTTTGATTTACAATGGGTGGGACCAATGGTGTGACAAAACATCACTCCAGGCCTTCAGGAAGTCCTAAATACATCACTGACTTTGAATTTAAGCACTAGTCTCACCAAGTTTCAGTCAGCTGTTTGAAATGGGCTCCTTACTGAAAGAACCATAATACTGCTACATACAACTATAAAAGAACTATATACAGCTGGGTAAATTATAAGCTAATGTCTGTTAAAAACATGAAAAAATAATTTGGAACATCTTATACAAGCTTCAAAGGTTCTTAATGTGCACCATCGTTAGCTTAGCACTAACATACTAATACTAATAGGACCCCAATAGCAAAAATGAGCATTATCATAGACATGGCTTAATTTTTCCTGTTTTGTGATGAATTTATGGCATGAACTGAAAGCATAACCCTAATATATATGATTTATATATATATATATATATATATATACTCAAAAGTTTGGAATAATTGTTTTCAATTTTCTTGCAGATTACAGTAATTCTATATCATTCAAACAAATTGTAGAAAGATGTGAAAATATGAAATTTCAGATGTGTTATGAAAAATGAACATGGCTGTTAATGTTTCCATAATAAATGAAAAATAAATGATGCATACATTCAGAAAGAAGTTAACATAAACTTAAAATCCTAAATGTTGATCTCTTGCCAGGAAATTATGATAAATAGATTATTCCGGTACACTATTCATCATTTTGTTTCCAAAAATCTTGATATACTTAATAAAACACACTAAAAATGCCTTCAGGTGTCTAGAACATTAAGTAAAACTACAATTATTAACATGACATGTTTTTCCAAACTTTTGAACATGTACGTACTTCTTAGCAGAAATATGAATCAGCCATCAGTTCTTTACCTGATGTTGTTGTTGAGTCCGGTGTCTGGGTCCACGGCACTGACCCGGCCCACCGTGCATGCCGGTGGGCAGTTCTCAGACACGTCCATGCGGTAGCGGGCTCGTGAGAACCTTGGCGGCTCATCAGCATCCAGCACTGCAACTCGAACAGAGGCACGGTCCTTAAACGGGCCACGGCGCAGGAAGCGGGGGTCCACGGTGGGGTTCAGCACCTCCACGGAGAAAGAGTACGAACTGCGGCTCTCGTAGTCCACAGCCTGTGAACAAAGCGCAGGCCCATATTGTGTTATTATTCTTGTTTCTCGTTTCTTGTGTAGCATAGTAATGGTCATTAGGGGTCCAAGCACTGGAACCCTGTTGTTTTGGTTAGTGTATTTCTCACTTGACATTGTTATTGATCTACATTGTTGTAAATACCTTGTACATAAACTGTTGATTTTGTTTGTGATGCTGTTTGTGGCTTCATTTTTTTTGTACAATTTGTTTACTATTTGTATTCTCTCTATTGTCCATTTATGTAAGCACCAGTTTCATCCAGAGAAATTCTTGTACAGGCAAGAGTACTCGGTCAATAAAGTGATTCTAATTCAGATTCTTACTGCAGCTGTGTAAAGCTCAGGTCCTGGAAGGCCACAACACCGCAGAGCTTAATTCACTCAGCTCAGTTAATGAAAGGCTAATGAATTAGTTGATCACTTGAATCAAGTGTTGAGTTGGTGATGAGCTGAAACAATAAATTCTCTAGAATTATAGACTTCCAGGACTAGTGACCGACACCACAAGCCTGTATTATAAACTATATTTTTCTGGTTCTGATGTGGGACTGATAGGATTAGCTAACGTTAGCTTGTAAAACTGGTGAGTAGCATGCACAGGGCTTCACGTGCAGGAGAACTGAAAACAAGCAGCTACTGATCTGTGCTGTGCTGTACACTCAGACATGTTTTCAAAAGAAGCTTTGAAACCCAACAGTTTACACCTACACCATCACTTGAAGGCTAAACATAGTGAATATGTATCTAAATCTGCTGAACTGAGCCAGAACTCTGTTTGCAACTTTCTTCTCTTCAGCCTGACATCCAGCCCTTGGTAGCGGCCAAACAAGTCCAGCTCTCATTAGGTGAGTCAGAATAGATGATAAGATCGGTCAAATCTTCTGTGGGCCGCCAAAGCTTTTGTTGTTGTTTGTGTGGGCCGTGAAAGGTTGCAAAAGGTTGGAAAGCCCAGACATAGTCATATCTTGCTGCTGTACAAAGCACGTTTGCCACAATACTGTGGACGAATCTTTAGATTAATAAGTAGTTGACTTCATTAAGAAAATGAAAATAATATATTTTTGAAAAAAATCCCAGACAGTAAACAGTGTTGGGGTAGTTGCTCAAAAACGTAATCGAATACAAATTCCTAATGACTTCTCTCAAAATGTAATGGCATTAGTTTACTCATGACTTTCTGAAAAAATCACTTATTATTTCACTTCCACATTACTCTCTAAAGCCAACTCACCAATGAAAGGCTCTTTCAGCACCTAAATGACTCTTCGTTTAGTAACATGGTCATTGGTTTTGTTCTCAAAATTAGCCAAAAGTGCAAAAATCATGGCAAGATCTATATTATGTTTTTTTTTCCAATACGCTACAGTACACTAAAATATGGAGACCGTGAGCCATCCTGTAAATAATCCTTTTGAAGGAGTTTTTCAGACCACATATGTCATACGTCTTTACGTATTAACATCACAAACAAGCTCAAAAAGAAGGTGCGCCTTTGGTGCGATCTTTGGGTCTCAAATGTGAAATCAACATTATAAAGCTAATTAACTTACATCCTTCACCAAGTTTTGACTGAGCTCTCTTTGAATACTTTCTCAACACACTTGCAATCATCAGATTCATCCCCTCAGGGAAGGGGGATAAAGCATGTTGCATGTAATTGCACATCCACCAGAGAGGGCTCCAAATCCCCAAAATATACATAGTGTAGCTTTAAACTCAGCTAACAAACAGAAACTGTGCATTAAAAGTGACAAATCACTTAGAAAATCAACAAAACATGTTATTTGACATGGGGTCAAGATGACGTTATGTACAGCAGATAATAGTAGATGCAGAGTTAGAAACCACATAAGCAAGTCTGTTTGAGATTACTTACAACCTGACAGTGTTTGAGGTCAGTATGTATTGATTTCGGCATGCGGTTTGCACAATACTGATTAGCTGCATTAGCTTCGTAACTCCAAACACTTCATTAAACACTGAGAAAGATCCATCCAAAGTTTGTTTCTTTATACATTTATGCTTATGCCTGCATGTGTTTATTGTCTGAATTATAGATAAGCAGTCATTACAGCTCCAATAATAGCTAATAGGCCTTATGCGCATAGCTGGGAGGGCCAAAACTGATTTAATAACTAGGTCTAGTAGTAAAAGGTGATGTCTTTTAAATAACATGCCTTTTATGTTAACTTTAATCTTTCCTAAAGCCACAAACGATGCCCATAACTGAGCCGTAATTGTTTTGTTCTTTCATTATCATAATCGCTGGAAATGCAGTAATGCTTTTCTAATGGAGCCGAGCGGAGGAAGAGCCTGAGCGTATCCCGCCGTTGATTACATTCTGGAGGCGCGTGGGGTCTGGGAGTGGACCCGCAGCAGTGTGTATGTGTGTGTGAGAGAGTGTGTAAATGGTTAGTGTTGGCAGGGGCAGTGAGGAGAGGGGAGTGGGGTTTGAAATGACTGCCTCATTAGGAGACTGAACCATGTGGGTGAGTGCCACTTTTGTGCCACTTTCTACCAAGCTGCTATTCCCCCCGTTCTCACTGCCAGCCTGCACTGTAGCACACACACACACACACACACACACACATTTCGAATTCTCCAGAGTCACCCGTGGACACGGTGTGCTTGGCCTTGGTATTGGCGGAACAGACGGAGGGATGGGGTGAAAACGAGTTGCATTAAACAGGGCTGATTGGAGGATGGCGGGGTTGCCTCCTATCCCCCCTACTGTCTGCACACACACATACATACAACATGTTGGTTTTACACCTTGTGAGGATGTACAGTCACACACGTGAAATATATGTTGTTATGTATAGCATTTCATTAATTCAATCTCCAAGCAAAGTGACCATTAAATACATTTAAACATAAACTTAGACAAAAGCATCTAATAACAAGTACAGTATCAAATCTATCAGCATTTATTTTGTCCTCTCTTTACTTTTGTGCACCTGCTGCAACTTTAACTCCTCTGTCCTTCCAATCTTAAAACCAACCAATTATATCTGTGTGCCCCAATTTTGCCCTTCATGCCCTGGTAGTGTGTTAGTGTAGTCTTAGTGGTGGCCCAACATGGTCCCCTATCCTTTTTGGGCTGAGCCCTGCTGGGTTACGTGGGCTGCCTGGCCACCAGGCGCTTGTCGAGGAACATTACACCAAGGCCTATTTCCAAGGGTAGGTCCTGGTAACCCTCTCCCAGACAGGGTACACTATTTCTTGTGTCCCTTAATCATGGAGGATTTTTGGATTCAGTGAGTCTGGGTCTTCACTCCAGACCTCTTTGCTTTTGGAGACCCTGGCAGGAGCATATTGCTCCAGACAACTTAGCTCTGAAGATCCATTGACCACACAAGCCCTTCCACCATGGCAAGGCCCTGATCCAGAAAGGGCCAGTTGAGGTGGTTTGGGCATCTGATCAGGATGCCCCCTGGATGCCTCCCGGTGGGGGTTTACCAGGCACAGCCTACTGGGACAAGACCCCGGGGTCATCCTAGGACCCGCTGGAGGGCTTATATCTTCAAGTTTGCCTGGGAGAAGCTCACGGTCCCCTGGAATGAGCTGGAGGAAGTTGCAGGGGACAGGGACGTGTGGGATTCTCTGCTCCTCCAACTGCTACCGCCACCCTATCTGGACTAAGCGGTTAACGATGATGATTACGATCCTTGTACTTTAAAAAGAACAGGAAGCACTTTCACTCAAAGCACTCTTACAATGGAAGTCAATGGGCACTTGCTGCATCACATACCCACTGGCTTTTATTGTAAGTGTTTTTTAAGTCAACAGGGTTTTCGTTCTTTTATTAAGTACAGGGGAAAGTGTAAAATTGCTGTGTGTGGTAAGTGATGCGGCAGATAGAGATTCATTTAAAAAAATGCGAGGGTATTCCTGTTGTCCACTGTGTCCCCTGTGCAGCCAGTTCATTTTCGTTCTATAAACGTATGAAAACAAACACAAACATCCACTGTGGTATTTGCAAACCCGCGACTTCCGATAAATCTATACGCTGTGAAAGAGTGAGAGTCAATGATTAAAAATGACTCAGCAGAACGAGGGCACGAAAGGGCAAAGCTAGCAGTCCAGCCACATTTATAAACGGGTGCAATGAAGTTCGTGTAGGGAAAGAAAAAGAAGAAAGGAAAGGAAGGAAGGAAAGGAGAGAAGGAGAGAGAGATAGAGAGAGCGAACAGGAGGGAGGGGGGTAAACGGAGAGAAAAGGTCTCTAACAGGATCCCATTAGAAAGCAGAGAGAGACAATCTGTCTGGGGAGGAGAGATGTCACTTACACTGTGAACACACACTCATCACCTCGCTCCCTCCTTCTCTCCAGCACTCCATCACTCGCTCCCCTCCGTCCGTCCCTCGCTCTCTCTTGCTCTGCCTCCCTTCCTCTCTCCCTCTCTCACCCTGCCTCTCTCGGCCGCTCCTACTCCATCACGCTCGAGACACTCCTCTTAGCGTGCAAAGGTCCGCCGTCCGCACCCTGAACACACAGTCATCGCTCTCTCTCGCAGCGTGTTTACAGGCCGCACTTATCACCCATTACGACTGTCTCTCTCCCTCTCCCTCTCTCTCTCTCTCTCCTCCTCTCTCTCTCTCTCTCTCTCTCTCACGTATCCTGCCCTACATTCTAATTATTCTCACGAACCTCTCTCTGGTGGAATTCCAATTCAGTGAAATTAATTAAGCATTCTGTATGGCCTCATATTCAGCCATTATACATCAACACATCTTCAGTTAGGAGAACTTTCGAGGCATTCTTGTTTGGCAGGAGATGTAAGAGCAAGAGACATGCACGCAGAGAGAGAGAGAGAGAGAGAGAGAGAGAGAGGCAATATGTGTGCTTATGAATGGATCTTAAAGGGCCCAAATTCACAGATTTGTATAGCGATGGGCCAAAAGGAAAACGCTTGGCTGAAAATGAAACTGAAAGCTGAGTGAAGTGGTTCACAGTCAGAGTTCGGACTTAAACTTTAGAC